AACGGTCTTAATACTATAAATATTCTGACAAATCAGCAGTTCTTGATAACAAGATTTCGTCAGTAAGGAGTTAAAGCAATTCATTAGGAGAGGGCATATTTTTGGATTACACTTCCTACATTTTTACAATTATGTAAACATCTTGTTTATTTCTTCCTGTTTTCAATGATTAGTGTCATCTTTTCTGACATAAAATTGAACGAGTTCTACATATAAATCAATGGTGAATCCAATTCCTCTTTCAATCACTGATGAAAATCACTAAATCATTCCTCATAAAATATTTTATTTCATTGTATCTTCATTTATTGATTCGTCTCCTTGTTAAAACGTCAACCAACAATCTCAATAAAGTTTCATTTCATTAAGTCAAGCAGGACGCTTTTTTTCGATTTTTTTTCATTGAAGCTATTCTCACAAACTGAAAGGATAATGTATGGAAGTGCCTTAAGTTGTAGAAGTCCTAAGAAACTGTCCTTTTCTTATTTTTAACTAAACTTTAAAAGTTTATTTTAATTGAAAATATTTTTATAGAGCTGATTTTTGAATATCCGTGCTTATTCGATCCATCCTATATTATTCTGACAGGCTAACAAAGACATAATGTGTTATAGACGAACTAACTCGCTTGATAAGAATAAAATTGCTATATCCCAAACTGCGGAGATCATGTACAAAGATGAAGCTCTCAGGTATAAGAAACTCTGAAATCAATCTTCGAATTTTACTATTTCAAATTAATTACTTTGCTGAAATTATCTCTCGCAGATCCCATATTTGAAGAATGAAGGTGACGTTTTTCTGAAGAGCTTTTTGAAAGTTTAAAAAAGGGAATTTGTAGAAGTAAAATATGATGACTTGCAGAAGTGATTTAGGCTTGTACAGCGTTTTATTATGCTTGTCTTGCTGTCTTGAATGTACACAAAAAGGGGTTGTGACATTTTTTCCCCCAAAAATTAGATTAATGGCAGCAATGCATCACTACACCAAGCTCTACAGATTGTGCAAAAATCGGCATTCAGCGCAATACCTAAGGTGGGAAACGGGAAGTCGTAATTCGCAAAAGTTTGTTAAAAGGAGACGTGAACCCTCACACGACCCATTTTTACATTCCAATCAGTTATTCGTCAGATCCCTCTGCCGTCATGAACTTGTTTGTTGGCCTGTTATCCGTGTTCTCACTTGCCGGTTATTTACCAAATACCCATTTCTAGCTTGCTTGAACTGTTTATAATAATTTACAATGAAATCCGATTCTTCTGAATCAAATGAAGGTAAAATCAGAAAAATAATCACGATTTGTACGACAAGAGTGCAATAATTAGCACAGAGGTGATTCGAGTGAGCTACATACCAAGCTAGTAAGAATATTTATTTAGGATTCTACGGGATTTTTTTTTTATTGTAATGTTTGTAATACTAAAGAAGCTTGCTTCCTCTATGATGTCCATAAAATTTCGATCTTCCTAGAACTGTCATATTTGAAATACATAAATTTCGTATTCGGCAGTTCGAGGGGAATACGAAATTTACGTATTTCAAATGTGACAATGACAAAATTCCCCTCTCGGATGAAGACAATGCATAATTTACGGATCCGGAAGTAGGCCATTCTAGTGTTAATTCTTTTTTTCTTTCGGGGGGGGGGTCACTAAATTACATATTTTAAATTAAGACCATTTGAAAATTGTTTTTTTCTTTCGGGGATTCCATACAGCCGGCATAGGTGGCTGGTATAAAGCAAGATCTATTCTCTATGGACCATGGGTAACAGTAAATATACACATAACAGTAAATGAATAACTTTCCCCAAAAGATAATCAGTATATAAGTTAAATCTACTAATAGGTTGTCATTCTTTTAAGTGCTTTTAATCTACTAATAGGTTTTAATCTACTAATAGGTTGTCATTCTTTTAAGTGCGTTTCTCTCTTATAAAGTACTTTAATTCTGTAAATTTTGAAAATTTGCAAATACAAAATTCTATCTCAGATGACCCCTCGTAACTTGCAAATTTCCACTTCCTCTCCAGCGTTTGTACAGTATATTGAATCAGTTTGCATACTGATCATTGTTCGTTTACGAAGGGCTTAAAAGTGAAATACGAAATAGTTCTTTGTAAGAACCACCAGTAAGAAGAGTTGAATATATTTCATTTGATTTTATGGAATTCACGGATGATGCAAGCTTTTTGTATAATTACCGTAACCTTTCGTGGATAATATTCAGCAGGATTCTAATGTCTTCAGTCGTAGTAATGGTTTAATTTAGTAAGGATTTTCGAAATGATGTTTTGAAGTATTGACGGTATTGCTCATTTTTATGATGACAGTGCATGTCAAAACAAGAACCACACACTGTTCATGGCATTTGTCTAAAGTCAAATTTAATTTTCTATCGGGGATCATTCGTTTCGCTCATGCGATCGAGATTGCCGAACAGTTCAAACGCATCATCGAGAGAATCGATCTCTAATATCGCTACAAGACAGAATAATCAGAACTAATAAGCAAAAAATGCATGGTTTAATTTAACTACTTTCTATAAAAAGTCATATGTGTCAGATGAAAGCTATGGCAGGTATATCAGAAAAAAAAGATAAAGTAACCTTCAAGATATCGTTAATGCAGCATTTATCATCTGTGACTCAAGTCAAGGCATCTCTGCCATTCGTGATTTGAGACAAGATACATTTATCTTACAGCACTACCATGATTCTGTCGGACAAAACAGCATTTAGTGAAGGAAAGAATTCGATTGCTCAGAAAAATGTGACAGATGTTCAAAAGTGTACTCAGTAATACCAGCCTAGCATACAGACTTTAACAATTACTTTTACAAATAGTAGCCGACGACGGGAATAGAAAGCAACGCGGAGAATGACGATGAAGAACGATAAAACGTTTTATTATTATTGGGAATATTTTTTCTATTTCTACTTTAATTATTATTATTTTTAACAGCATTTCAACTTTCAGACTTGTTTATGTAACAAAATAATATTTAGTTTCCAATGCTATTATTATTATTTTTTTTTTGTTATTTTATTTTTGATAGACTGTACATAATTTCCTTAACAATGTTTTTTTAAAGATATATTACCCTGCAGTGGCATTTGTTTCTATAAACGGCAATACATTTTTCATAACAATGAGCGTTTTTCCTATTTTGTGCCCAATCTGGAAAGAAAAATTGTCCTAAGTTGTAAAAAGGGGATATGTGTAAATTTTTTAAATTTTATTGGAGGGGATGACCATGAACAACTAAACTGTTAAAAAAAAATTCTAAATCACATGGATCCTAGTTATATCAATCTCATAATTTTTTGTTGTTGACGGCTGACATTCTTGTGAGGAGAGTGGTGTTGTTCACTGCATATTATAAGGTAGTAAATTAGGTAACAAATTTAGTATTAAATCTGAGAGAAAAATAACTCATAAAATAATTAATTGGCTTCCCATTCCATTATGTTAACCTATGCCATTTTTTTCAAATGGTTTATTACTGTGTAAACTTTGTAAGTTATGAATTAAATAAATTCGAATACAAAACTTGATCTAACTTGTTTATATTTACGCTTTAAACACCTTTTTCTTCCAAGTGTATTTCAATACTTGAGTGTAAATTGTGTACTTTAATTTAGAAAGTCGCCTGATAGCGGCAAATCTCGCTTATTGGAATACTTTCCTCTGGCAAAATGAGTGTTTCTTTAACCATTGCTAGATTTCATCAAGTTTCATAAATAAAATAAGAAAATGTTTCTATTCGCTTCACTGCGCATCTTTCTACGATTTAGGGTCACATGATTGCAACTGTGCTAGGGCCTAATTACCACCTAAGTCCACAAGACGAGGGCATACGTCCCAGATTTAGAGGACCACAAATCACTCTATAACTCCTCATAACCTTGTTTCTCTCTCATAAAAAGAAGAAAAATGAGAATTGGGGATGCTTGGAAATTTTGTATAAGTTCACGGACTGTTTAATTCAATTGCCGATCCCACTGCAGCCACTCTTTGCATCAGGTTTCTACAATTGTTTAAATGTATCAATTCGAGTGGAACAGATGTTTTTTATTGAGAATCTACTGTAAGCAGAGTGAAAATTTACCTTTAGAAATGTGTTGAAACTGTTGGTGAATGGTACTGTTTGGTAAATGAACAGTATAGTATATCAAAGCTAACTGAATTGTTTCTAATGCCATATACTTCTTATAATTTATATTTCATGAGGAAGAAAGAATGCAAACTAATTTTTCAAATTCCAACCTAACGCTTGAAAGTTAACATAAATTTGTTACTAAAATCATAAACAAGAAATTTCCATATTCCTTAAAATTATTAAAGGTAATGGCAATTAACTATAAGTAATAAATTAAAATAATAAATAAACATAAATATGACTAGGAATAATCAAACAATCTGCATAAAGAACTCTGATGCTAAACTATCACAAATTTCATTTTAAGAAGCTTTAACCCACTGAAGAGAAAGAAAAAAGAATTTATTTTACTACGACTGATCGAGGGATATATTCTTTTTCATGCTAAAACAGAATAGTAATAAATGGAAGCTAACTGTTTTGTGTTGTGCTAGATTAAAAGTAATTATCTACACTGGGAAATCGCCTTGTCTACTGCTGCATTATAAATCGTTTTGTTTTTTAACAAGAAATATTTACTCATAATTATTTACAAATGCTTGACGCATGTAACTTTTGTTTCCCACATTCGAATTCATACTATGGATTCGATCACTAAGAAGCCTATTTACAATAGCTAGGTGACGTCATAAGTATTGGGAAATAGAAGATGTAAGATGATAAGGAAGAGAATTACTTTCCTGTTTTGCTATTGCACTATTTTATCGCGTGCTACAAACCATACCACCTGCTTTGAAGTATTAATATATTGTAATTTATGCAACATTTATGACTAGATAAAAATTATTAGCATCTACTAGGAGATGTCGGTTAAAGGAAAATAATGCAATATAACTTACCATGGTGAGGAATATCCCAAATTCAGGATTCATACGAATAACGTCACCGTCACTGAATACAAAAGTTTCTTTTCTTTCCTTTTTGCATGTTAGCACTATTGATATCTGCTGAGCTGCTACCGATAGAACTGGAAGATCAATTCTGTTGAATTCATCGAAGCAACCCCAAGAACCAGACTGGGCAAGGCCTGTGGTACATACGCGAAAAAAACTACATCTGAAACCGTCATATTTGGATTATATGTGTATATAATTGAATAGTATAAAAAGTATTCAAAGAGTAACATTACCATTTGTGGGATACATTTTAAAAATTCATAAATAAAAAAATGATCCCAAAATTTTTATTTACCGAAATAGATCTCAATCAGTTTTTAAAAAATGATCCAAATGATACCAAATTGTAATTTATCGAAACAGATCTCAACGAATAGACTCATCAATTTTCTTCCTTTTATAAGCTTCACAAATACTCAATGTTTCCATTTGCACTGATATGGTAGACGTCTATGCTTTGCTGGAAATATTTACTCAGATATGCTAGAAAGCTTTCTAAGGAATAGGTGAACAGGTGATGATTATTTCTTTTAACAAAATAGTAGCTCTGGTCACTGCCAAAGAAACCAGTTGTCGAGTACCTCAACGAAAATTTGCCATAAAGGAGAAAAGGATACACAGAGCAATTACATGATCAAGTCTTTGGACGTCTCACGATTTCTAGTGGAGAGGCGTACGCTAAAGATACCGTATATTACGTACATTTATCACTACTGTCCAGCATTTTCGCAACCATACCACAAGAGTCGGCTCGAAAGCCGCTGCGGCCCACCAACAGCCAAAAGTTTCAGAATTCAGGGAAGCACCAAACAATAAATGTAGAAGAAGGGCATGAGCAGTATAACCAGCAGAGATTGCATCAGGTGGCAAATTGCCTAGCGTCTGCCCTGCGTATCACTGATGAAATAGCGTGGTCAGCTATGATGTACCAGCATGCAGGGTCGACAAAACGGACAATCACATGAATGTCTATATGCCAACAAAAATGGATACAATGAGCATATAGGAAATATGTTATTAAAAAAAGAAATTCAATGCGTTAGGCTTTATTCCAGTTACATCGTTTATATGTTATGAATTTTTAAAATGTTTTGAGAAATTAGGGGGAAGAAGTATTCAGTTTTAAAGGTCGCTTGAAAGAGCTGATTTAAAGTTTAATATGGTTTATCAGTACAGATTATCAATGCAGATGTCCCAAGTAGAATAGCGAAGTTTTTTTTTTTTTTTTTTTTTTTTTTTTAATATTTTAACGTGATATTAGTATTTTACATCATCATCTTTATTCATCTAGTATTTTACATGCTACTGGAGGAATATACATTTAGATTAACATAGGAACACTGTTATCCTCTATATAGTTGAAAAGTGAAGCAACATATAACTTAATTCTATAAAAAATATTTAATGCTTTTAATTAGATACATAAGGCAGTTTTATTTAAATAAATCAAATTAAAACGTAATATACTTGAGATCTGCATCTATTGCTTTTCGAACAGCTCAGTTTGTTGATCAATAAAGATAGATTAAATTGTAAAGAAAAATATTTTACCGTTTGCTGAATGGCAACAGACACAAAAAAAAAACATGAAATAACTCTTTTCATAGGGAAGACGCAAAATCGTGTTTTGAAATTAATAGCCATTTTGTGGTAAATATTGTATTCATGCTTCATTCTCATATCTGTTACTTAAAGATATTTGAAAAGATATCTAACTATTCATGCAAAGTTATTATTTTGAAATCTTTAATGCTGTGATTTAATTTTGCTCTTCTGATGGCTGCGCAATGAGCCGCAGAATTTCAGTTACTCAGACTTCGATGATTTGGAATTTACATGAAATTTTATGCAAACGAAATTCATTGAAGATTCAGATTGGCTTTTCTAGATAAGTCAAATTTTTACAGCTCAAAATATTCAATACCTGAAACATTTTTTTTTTTCAAAGAAAGACAATATAATTATTTTCTCACCATTTTTATCCCACAGATATACTCTGAACTGAAAAGGTCATGCTTCAGATCTCTTCTGCAAAATCTTTACACATGAAACAGTTTTGCACTAGCCCTAATTTTTGGTTCTTTACACTTTTCTTCAAGTTTCACCAAATTGTTTTAATTTCCTTTAGGAATGCAATCTATATTTTTTAAATCAAGAATAAGGAAAAATTGAATTGTTACACATTTTAAATATTTACCCTATCTTGTATACCATTTAACAATCATCATCTATCTTTTAATCTTAATCTATACATTAATCTAATTTATAAAATACTGATTTTTTTTTACTGTTAATCTGAAGTACAAATATGATACACTTCAGAACTTTTGATATAGTCTGGTTACACAAGAACTATTCCAGCAGAGATTGTCCGTGCATCTTTGAAATCTTTTGTTCAACAAGTAACTGAAAATTAATAAAGCATAACAATTCATTGGTAAAAGCTGTTAAATTGAGGAATGATGTAACGTCTAGCGCAGTCAAAATATTGATAAGCTCAAAATGACTCCAATGAAACATTTTAGCAATGAAGTGAAGTTTTCCCTTTCCGGAGAAAGGTAGTCTCGTTTATCAGTATTAAATCTATTCACTCAAGAACTGATTCAAACAACCGAGTTCTTTACCGAGTGAGCGAACTTTGTTTCGTCAAGAAAGAGTGGTAGCTATTTTGGATTTCAAAAGCGAGAGCTTTTGTCAGAAGCATGCTAGGAAAGTTCAAGTTCCGCTTTAGGAAAAAAATGAATATCGATACTTTCATTTAAAAATGCGTTTAGTTTTTATGATTTCCAAAATTTAGAATTTTTTTTAAAATTAAAGAACTTGTTTGAGAGCTGAAACTAGAAAATGAATTTTATGGAATCTCAATTCCATAGTTGAAAGAAATCAGTCTAAGGGTGAACCGTTGAATGAGTTGTTTCTTCCGATCCCACTGCTCATTCGATTCTTTTCACTTTTGATTAACGCTCCTACCGTTTTATTGCTCGATTTATAAAAGAGAACCTATTCAATTCAGGGAGCAAAATATTCATTATTCTTTGCAGGAAATAGAATGCTAGATATTTATCAAAAAAATGAAAGGCGGAAAAGTCACCTATTTCACATACCATTTTAAAAATTAAATCCAAGATCCTTAAAGTGAAAATGTGGTGGTTAATATTTTTGAAGAAGCTGTATTACAAATTTTTAAATGTCTGCCTTTACTGTGAATAAAACAATGACCAAGAATTTACATTTTATTGGAGGAAAAAAAAAAAAAAGTTTTTTTCCTAAAACATGCGGCACAGCATAAAATAAGATGCGGAATTTTTTTGCTAAAATAATTTTACGCATGGAAGCTAGAAATTTATTGCGAATATAGATGAAGCAGGGTTATATTTAAATGAATGTAACAGAAAATGATTAATTTATGACCATCAAAAGAGTGCAAGAAGACTTGGAAACTTGGCTTCTAGAGTTCAAAGAAAATTTTAGTTTTAAAACTATGGTTGATTTCTCAATCAATGGATGATTAAAATTCAGAAAATTTGGAAGAAATGTAAAATTAAATTTTACAGTACTGTCAAACTTAATTAAACTGGCTCCCATAATTAAAAATGAAATCCATCGTCCATCAAATCCACACAATGTAAAAGCAATTAAATTTCTCCAAGCAAAGCCAAGAGTCAAACGTCAACACTTGCGACTAAATATTTGAGAAAAAAAGAAAAGAAGACCAAACCAATATATAATGTATACACTTTTCAGGCTCTAAAGCGGCACTTTCTACATGCCAGTCAAACTCAATTCACGAACCTTGAAAAACACCCCATTTGAAGTAAGAGTATTTTCCTTTGGTAAAATCAAGAAAGGTCCTTTTGTGATGGAAATTAAGGTATGGATTAATAGTTAAACAGAAAGGACTACCAAACACAGCATTTAAGAAATAATACTTTTATTATAATTAATTGTTTTCCTGCATTATCGTTGAAAATGGCATAAATATTTTCTGCCATCTGAGAATTTATGGATGTGTACATCATTTGGAAATGACCACGTAATTTCATACAGTAATTAGGAAAATATCACATTTAATAAGGAGGGACAACTACCTAAATATGAAACATTTACCCCATAAAAATGAGACATTATAATAATACATTCTTAAATACTCGAGAAAACATGCATAAAAAGAGATGTGATTTTATCACCAGAAACTGCAAGGAATTCCATCATAATTTTTTTGCTAACTTTTTTTGTTTTAATTTTTTTTATACTTTAATTTTGAAAGTAATCTATTAGAGAAAAAATGTTTGAGTAGAGTTCAAACGATTGATATTTGTTACTTTTTTCCATTCCTCTCTATTTCAGTTTTCTGATCGTCTGACTTTTTAACAACTTAATTCACTATCAACATTTACACATTCAAGAAGCACATTCAATAACATGCGTGAGAAACACATTCAAAATATGTCAAAGAATGTAATGTAAAGTATTTTCCTATTTAAGCCCATTAATGCTTTTATTTACATATTTGTTTGTTTTCAAGTCTGGAGGTATTACTTTCTCTACTTTTACAAGCAAAAGACACTTCTTATTGTAATAAATTTTAGTCTTCATGCTTAGTACTTCTCATAAATTTAAATACATGGCATACTTTTAATATGTAATTTCTTCTGCTATTAAGTTTTGATTCTTCTGCTATTAAGATTTGATTTTGAAGAAATACTAAAACTCAACAAAGATTTCAGAGCGCCCCAATAAGAAAGATTTTCTGACAGAAACGATGCAACCGAAACTGGGCGTCAGTGCGCTCTGGCTGAAATTACATACTCTACTATCACATTAACTATTGACGTCGTACAGTAGACTTCAGCTAAGGAAAAATATTTGTAACACAGAAGGAAAACTGAATTTGATAGCGTCTTCTCAATTTACTTATCTTTCTACAATAAATAAACTGATTTATATCTTTAAGCACAGATTTAAATAATGATTTTCCTTTTAGTGACTAATTACTTAAAATATTTCGGACATTATTTCTACTCAAGAATGTTAGCCATACAACTTTTTCAATTATCCACATATGTATACATGCATGAAGCGGAAAATTTATATTTCATCATCATGTCAAAATGCAGTGGTTAAATGAAAA